GGCATCCGACACAATAAATTCAGCATAATCCAACACTACTACAGAATCAAACGTAGTTATATAAATAAATCAGCAACTCAGTTGAACAAAGATGAGAGAAAACGATTACCGGGATGTCAAATTCGTCAGAAGAAGTGAATATGTTGTTCGTAGTTGAATGGCGATGGAAGTAGGCGCGGAGAATTGATGAAGCTTGATAAGGATAATGAGGCTGGGCAGTTAACGCATAATGCAATGAATTGCTGCGCGCGGAGAAAGCTTAAAGGATGGTGTTGACGAAGAAAACAGAGGTGTATCTACTGTTATCACTGACGTGCTGGATACAGAGAGAGGGAGTTAGATAGAAGATGGTTATTTGATGATGGATGATGCGGCGGATTGAAGGTGGATGATGTTACGGTGGGTTGGTGGGTGACGGTAAATCCAAACATATCCTGAACAATAAACCCTACATTTTATTTTTAATTATTGAAATATATATATATATATATATATAGGGATAGTTTTGTAATTTAACATATAAGCGGGTGTGGTTTCGGGTTTCGGGTGCGGGTTTAAGTTATCCCAAACCCACACTCGAAATATCGGGTGGCACCCGAACCCGAACCCAAACCCAGTCAATTCGGGTTTCACCCGTTGACTCGGGTGCGGGTGCGGGTGGGGCCCGTGGGTTTGGGTTTGCTTGCCATCCCTACCAATCACGAGTTTAGAAAGCAAGTGAGGTTAACTCGAAAAATCTCCAAAGCAATTTGTGCAAATGATTCGTGTGAACACACACACGTGTGAATTGAATGTAGTTGTCCTTTGCACGATAACAACGTAAAAACAAACTTTAAATGAAGGTAAGTTATAATAAATGACAGGGTAAAATGCAGTAAATGACATTAAACGAGAGTGAAAGCAAAAGACACTAAATGTTTCATTTAATGGAATAAGAAAATAATGAAAATATTAGACGCAAACATATACATATTTCTCACACATTGTTTCTCTCTTTGACTCGGGTACTCCAGTGGTATAGAGAGTATGTATGAAATTTTGTGACCTTTGTTACAATGTATAAGTCTGCTATTTATTATATTTTACAAAATAACCGTTGGCGACAGTTTCACCCACTATGAAACTAGTGCGTTTTACTCCACGTTTTATCTTCAGGTTTCCATTAATATGCCCACGTGTCACCCACAATTCTTCCTATTTACAACCCATGTTGAGTTATAATCGCTTCAAACTTTCCCACGAACTTCTGATAGTAACTACTCAACGTGCTGTCGACATGACTTACAGAGAACTTTGAACTTGTAAAAATACTAAGACTTTAACCTTTCATGATTCAGTCGACCGGTACATTTGGTGTAGTGAGGGTCCCGTCGACTGCCGTTTTGGAGATTCTGGACATGTTTTCAGATTATCCTAATCTTGTAGATATGTTCCTGAGACTCCTCCAAACCATGTTCTCCTTCGCTGACACCTTAATTGATACCTTGTCGACGCTTCGTCATTAATGCTCTTTAAAAGACTTCATTAATGTCTTCTTAACATCAAATGTCTTTTCAATTGATATTCTTTGTTGACTTTCTTCTAGGTGAAAAATCCAAATGTAACATAATCCAACTCAATTTACTGAATTATAAACATCAATTTCCAACATAATTTTTGAATTTATAAAGTTGTTTGGAGAATTATATAGAATTCAAATGATAAAAAGTTAATAGGTTCAATTTTGTTCTCCAATCATAATTAATATTATTTTCAATCTTATTTATAAATAAAATTTAAATTTTTAAATACATTAAATAAAAAATATATTTAAACAATATATTATCCATAATATATCTAAAAAGTGAAAAATTTCTTTTAAATGAGAGTAAAGGAGTTAACGATTACTATTACTCATTTTATTTAAAATGCTTTGATTCATTTGCAAAAACCCAAAAATATCCTTGGTTACGTTGACAAGAACAAACGGGAGGGGGAGAAGTAGAGCGGCAAGGAACCAACCATTGCAGATAAGCACATCCCCACCAACCAACTCAACACGAGTCATCCACACCACTTTCCTTTCTTGAGTTTTAACATCGTTCATTCATTCACTATTACAACAATAACAACAACAACTTTATTCAAAACCTTCGCTTTATCGATACACTCTCAAGGTTTGAGAGGCACGAGATGGCTTCAGCTACATCTTCTCTATGCTCACCTACCCTCCAATCTCAGATCAATGGACTCTCCCTTCGCAAAACTTCTCTTCTCCATCCCCCTTCTCTCACTTTCTCCAGGTATATATTTTTCTTCTCAATTTTCAATTCTTGTTAGAATTCAACTTCTGGAGTCTTCAATTATGTGCAATTTTTCGTGAACTCAGGAGAAAAGTTTCAACCGTGGTTAAGGCCTCATCTCGTGTTGACAAGTTTTCCAAAACCGATATCATTGTTTCTCCATCTATTCTTTCCGCTAACTTTGCAAAATTGGGAGAACAGGTTTATAAATATCAACAATTTGTTTACGTTAATACATAAATATAAATAAATGTTAGCGCTAGAATCGTGACTGTTGGAGTTTTCTTGTTATTTTGTCTAGGTAAAAGCAGTGGAGTTGGCTGGTTGTGATTGGATTCATATTGATGTTATGGACGGTCGCTTTGTTCCAAACATTACAATTGGACCTCTTGTGGTTGACGCGTTACGCCCTGTAACAGATTTACCTTTGGATGTACATCTGGTATTCATCTTATACATATATATTAAATTAAGCTGATTTCGAATGATGATTACTTTTTCTGACTCTTGTTAAAGCAATGTAGATGATCGTAGAACCAGACCTGCGGGTTCCAGATTTCATCAAAGCAGGAGCTGACATAATTAGTGTTCATTGTGAACAGTCTTCCACTATCCATTTGCATCGTGCTGTTAATCAAGTAAGGTTTTCTTCTGAATTATCTCAACTTTGAACAATAGTGCTGCAACTCAGAGTTGACAAGTAATATTTTCAAGCCATTTTATAATTATCAAATATAACTTCAGAATCTAGGTATCAAAATAAAAATAAAATTACAACATTAGAATCTCACTAAGAATACAGTAACCATCACATATATATGAATGTGTAAGGCTTAAAAGTTAAGTAATATCTTAGCCTCTAAATATAATAACAGATAACTCAACTTATATTTATTTTCAGTTTAAGATATCTGATTATGTTATCTTAATTTAGGTGAAAAGTTTGGGAGCGAAAGCTGGAGTTGTCCTAAACCCTGGTACCCCACTAAGTGCAATAGAATATGTCCTTGAGGGTGAGTCTTTGCCTTTCTTTGTTTTTTCTGTACCCCACTAGTAATTACATATTTATACAGTTTTTACTAATTAGCTTAAGAAATGTGGTTGAGCCTAATTCAACCCTACAAAACCGTCTAGTAAGGTGAGGATTACCCTCACTTATAAGGACAGAGGCTATATATTGTCCGATGTGGAACTCTAAACACACCCCTCATGCCCAGGACTGAACATCTAGAGCGTGGAAATAAATGGTGGGTGGCCGATAGCGGAAACCCGATAGTAGGTGGCCCACCGGATCTTAAATGGGGCTCTTAATACCATGTTAAAAATTGTAACTAACTTTTCCATTGCATTGAAAAGTTAGTTACAATTGATGCACCTTTGTTACTTATACCTGTAACAAGGTGACCTGCTATAGCAGGTTTAGGCACTGCACTCAAGCTGACAGACGTCAGTCTTGAGGCTAAAACAAACTTAGCTTAAGCTTCTCTAATAGACTGATGTCTATTGTTGAGTTATAATTTTTTTTTTTGAAGTTCTTTACTGATTGAAAAATAAACTCTAATATTCTTATTTATGATGTTGGCAGAGATTGATTTGGTCTTAATTATGTCCGTAAACCCTGGCTTTGGAGGCCAAAGTTTTATTGAGAGTCAAGTAAAGAAAATTGCTGAGTTAAGAAGATTGTGCGTGGAGAAGGTATGCTGCGATAATTTGTTTGTGTATGTGTGGATTATTAGGTTGTGTGAATCCTTACATAATTTCTAATTGGTTTATTCCGTACATAATCTCTAATCGGCACTTCTCTCTCTAGGGTGTGAATCCATGGATTGAAGTCGATGGTGGGGTTACCCCAGCAAATGCTTACAAGGTGCTGTATACATTATCACACCGTCTTCCATCGCTTATAATTTAGAATGATGTGTAACAAGTCTTTTTCGTGCTGAACATAATCAGATAGTACTCGCGATGATTGTCTTTTTCAAGTAATCTCAACATAAAACATTGGGAAACAAGTCGCACTTAATGTTTTTATTGACCAAATGCTCATATTTTGATTATAACAAATGAGTAATTAGAAAGAAATAATGAGGGGGAAGCAAATACTTTGTTTATTCATTGAATTTGAACGCTTTTTAAAAGGCATAAAAAACCATAGAATCTGTTTGAGTTTATAGAATCCAATTTTCAGTATTATCTTATTTGGCAGGTGATTGAGGCTGGAGCTAATGCACTAGTTGCTGGTTCTGCTGTGTTTGGAGCTAAAGATTATGCTGAAGGTACCTTTAAAATAATATTCTGAAATTATACGAGTTAGAGGTATACATCGTGTAATGCGTGGAAATTTAATGTGATTCTGATATTTGTCATGGTTTCAACTTTCAACTCTCTTGTAGCTATAAGAGGGATCAAAGCTAGCAAAAGACCTGAACCAGTTGCTGTGTGAAATCCCTCCGTGGTATCGTATCCAATTTAATCCAATGTAAGCTGCATGTTTGCACCATCAAGGTTTCTCAATTAAATTTTGACATTTCAGTTTTTTCGATTGGGAGGTTGCACTCTTGTAATTGCCTGTCAATATAAGAAATAATGAAGTAAAATAATTGCAGAGATTACTGCAAAATATAGTTTCAGTATGATTGTAACTTTGTATCATAATGTTAAACCTGCAACTCAATTTTTGCTTGTATCTGACTGATAAATACTCAATACTATTTTTTTATGAGTAATTTGTGGCTATTGTTTAGATCATATTTGAGCATTTGTACATGTGTTGAGGCATTTGTACATAATTATACAAAAAGAGCAGGCAAACGGACAACAAACTGCGCCAATACTATTGGAAATTTTACTCTTGGCTGTATGAAAAAAATGAGTTTCTGGAAAAACAATATGAAAAATATCATCTGGAGCACGATCTGAATCTAATTCTCTGCAGTTTATTTTTCTGTGTTTGAACCTGACAGACTATGTTCACGGTAAGCCGGCTTATTAGGCATGGCTTGCTATCACCACCGGCAATTGCTTCTCTATGGAGTTAACTAGAAAGAGTAATGCTTCTGCTGTGATGCATATTTGTGTATAATCCCTTGGAATATCAGAACATCTTTAATTCAAGATAAAGCAATCTACTGTCTGTAAGCTTGTAATTTACTCTTGTGGTCCCCCATATTGTAAAGAAGTTTGTGCTTTTTGACATTACATATCAGAACTTGGATGCCAATTCAAAATCAGTTTTTCTTCGTTAGAATATTCAAATGTTATCAAATAAATTGAAAAAAAAATAAACATCTTAGTTGTAGAAATGGTTGGGTCATCAATTATTTTGGGGTTATTACGAAGGACATCTATATCGGGACCTTTATTTTTAAGGACATCTATATCGGGACCTTTATTTTTAAGAGCTAACACACTAAGAGAGATATCACATATTCACCGAAAATTTTAAGGTGATCGATATACGAATTCTTTCACTTATAAAATATTCAATCTCTACTTTTTAATCAATGTGACTTTTTAATCAATGTGAGACTTTAATCTCACATATGTTTCTCAACATTTTCAATTCACTCTTGTACCGTCATCGACACTTTTTCAATGGAACATGTCAGAAAGACTTTCGACAACGGGACATTCTCCTGACACACTATGTTAGAAAGACTTTTAACACAAGAGAACCGGTCCTTCACTCGAACCATTGACTTTTGATACCATTGTTATGTTATCAATTCTTTGGGGGTCACCTTGAGGAAACATCTACATTGAAACTTTTATTTTTAATAACAACACACCAAATGAGAGACACAACATATTTATCAAAAACGTTAAGATGAGAGAAATATCAGTTATCTAAGTTTTAAAGTATTAAAGTATTCAATGTTGGATTTTCACTTCACACTTGTTTCTCAATACTTTCAACCCACTCTTATTTTTCTCAATTGAAATTGTAAAGTTGATTAATTTAACTCCTCAAACATTTCCCTCATTAATTTGAAAAATATCAATCTTTTCCTTAACTTGGTAGAACACTCTCAAATTAGTCTATGATGCTATGAACATTTTAAAAAGTTGTACTAGAAATGATTTGAAAGGAGAAAAGTTTTAAACAATAAACTGACACTTTGTGAATGATTCATCTGCTTTTCAAATTTTACTATCAATTTCTCTTTAGAACATGATAATTAAGCATTTGCTTATCTATCAACATAACATTATTGGGACTAGATTACAAAATGAAAACCTCAACTGTACAAAATGATACAACATATCTGCCCATAAATATACACCAAAATAATACCAAGGAGAAAACTACACATTCTGTCTGCAAATAGGACATGAATCATTCTTCACAAGCCATTTATCCACACATATCAAGTGAAATGTATGGTAACAATGAGGTAAGCTTCTTGCAACTTCACCTACTTCCATATCCTGTAAATTATAACTCTCAATGTTAACATGATTACAGTAACACTATCATTCAAAATATCAGTGCAAGTAAATGCATTTTTTGGTCATTAAATCATGTAAAGAATAATCACCTGTAAACATATTGCACACAAAGTATCCTCTGCCTTCATGTCCTTCATGATCATATGGTGCGGTAGCTTACTCAATGAATCACCTGACAATCCTCTGGATGCTACTAAGCTCTGAAGATCATGAATCTCATCATAACCAGTGTTATTAGCAATTCCAACCTGCTCAAACTAAAACAAAAGATAATACGTTAAAAACTATATGGTGTGTTACAAATGACAAAACAATGAAATACCAGCACATGATTCATAGATGACTTCTAAAACAGTAAAAATCTGGAAGTAATACTACTAATCAAATGAAAGTACAAAACAAGCTTTAGGCTGTTTCTAGTTTTTGCCTTACCATGTGTTATATTTGCATGGATAAATACTCATACGTGTCTTCAATTTCACGAACTCTTATTACTAGCATTCTTAATATTTTGAAATTTTAGTTCACGTAATAAATATATAATTAAAAACTTCCTTTTCTTAAGTTTCAGAATTCAAATATTATATACTCCTAAGTTACACAAGCCACCACATACAACAACAACAGCCAAGCCTTATCCCATTAAATGGGATCGGCTACACAGATCAACTTTCACCATAAAGTTCTACCCAAAACCATACTTCTATCCCACCACATGCTGAAAAAAAGATCCAGGTGCAACGAAAGAAATTGAGGCTAATCTATGTTTTTTATCTGGAAGATGCTCACAAAACTAGAGAAGAGCAAGAACAGATAGTTTGCATTTTGCAGGCTCTCATACTGTAAAGGAAAAAAACAAGTAGCATTATTCACTGATCTTATATGCAAAGTTGGTAACCAGTTGAGTTTCCCATGTCAAATTGGCCATGACCAACAGCTCTTGATACTGCCAACTCAGATTGCACCATCGCAACTAGACTATTATACGCATCAACACACACACAAATCTATTGCTTTTAAAAGGCAAAGTAGGCAAAAGTTGTGGGAAAGATATAGAGAAGGAGGAGGTTACTTGCAAATTGTAAGCAGTTAAAATAGCTGGTGTAAGCGATTCTTCTACAAGCCTTCCACGAACAAGTTCCTCTATGAAATCTGCCTGGATTTAAATGTTAGAAAATCCGATTAAATTATGCATCAAGACGATCACTCAAAAAATCCACTCTCAAAAATACGCATCTTAATAAACAGGCGAGCACAAACAAGTTCAACACATAAATCTCATGTATATATGCATTTCGAGATCTAACAATCATGATAATTATAAAAAAAAAAACACAAGGTATATCGAGATCATACAATCACCAACCATAGATGACGTTCCTCGTGAACCAGTTTGCTCCATACACCAGTACGCACGGGAAGCTTCCAATACCTCAACCGAGAGTATAGCCCCAGCAATGGCCCCCAATGAAACTCCCCGAAGAAAACCACTCTTTGTAGCCTTAGCTGCTAAAGCACCAGCAACAGCTCCTGTTAAAGCCCCCGCTGCAATTGAAATACACAATCCATGAGAATGAAACCAACAAAAAACAACCTCCAAAAATTGCTATTAACTAGGTAAGAAAACATTAAACACCCCAAAAATTCTCCAAGTTCAACAAACAAAAATTCCTCATGTTTAAGCTTCAGAGTTAAAAAAATAAAATAAAATCAAATTCTAATCCTATTTCTACCTAACAACATGCAGATGAATTACACACCCCAGAAATTAAAAAATTAAAAAATAAAAAATCAAAGGAAGAGATTATGGAAAATACCAACGGCAAAACATGCTGTGAGAGTTCCAGAAATGGCGCATAATAAAAATTTAGAGACAAAACGAAAAAGCAAAAGGGGTGTTTCGTTTCGTCCAGTTTCCATGAAAGATATGCAAACAAGGAACAACAAAGTGGCGATGTTGTGTCAGAGACAGTGCAAACGTTGATGGGCCATGCGAGCGTCCTTGGGTATAGGTTTTTGCAGAAATATTTATTTGATGATTGAGATTGAAATTGGAAGGATAAGGAGGAAGGTAGATTTTGTGAGAAGAAATTTTATACGCCGTCAGCGATGAAGGAAAACGAAAGCTTAATGCGTTGATGGGTCGTTTTCGGGATAATAATGAATCATAAACGTAATGAAACAAGAGGCAAGAATGAACATTGACTTGAGAGCGCACCCAACTCTTCAATAAATGGGAATGTCATTTTAAATATGTAATCCAGCTATGTATTATAAATATGTCACGCTAACAAATGTGTTACATAGCATTTGGAATGGACTTTTGCTTTTTATAATATGATTTTTTCCAAATAGGGGTGAAAATAGGTCAGGCCGATAACAAGGGCCTACGGTCAAGCCTATATAGGCTTAGCTTACAACCTAGTCTACATAGGCTCAGGTTAGGCCTAAGTTTTTTTATAAGCCTATTTAGTTAAAAGACTAGGTCTCAGGCCATGGAAAAAGCCTTTTAGGCATAACAGACATGGCTATATAAATAAATATGAATAATCTTTTTATTATCATTATGTTATGTTTTGTACTTTGAATCAAAATACATAAATAAAACTTGGTTATCTTGAAAAACTTATGAAAATAAGATGAAAACACCTTATGAACAATGTTATAAGTTGTTTTCACAAGACCTCTTAAATAAATAGTCTTACAAAACTTATGTTAATTGGTAAGTTAAAATAAATCAATGCAAACAAACTTTTAGTCTTATTTTTTTTTTAGTTTGTTAGTCTATTTAAATATTATTTAAATTATTTATTTATATATGTCTAAAATAATAGGCTTTATGTAGGCTAACCAGGCTTTAGAAAAGGTCAGACTCAAGCCTAAAAATAAGCCTATGATAAGCTACAGACCAGGCTTAGGCTTCAGTTTTTTTGGAAGGTCAGGCTTAGGTTTGACAAAGCCTAGCTCGGCCCAGCCTATTTCCACCCATATTCACAGGTATCGTTTTCTTCTTCGTTTTTCAATGATTCTTATTTTTCTTGTTTAGGTCATTTTATATAATTCGATTTATTGGTTGAATTGTTCTTACAAGTTAATTTCGTTTACAACAATCTGGCTCATAGATTATGAGTTCTTCAATCTGGTATAATGTCAAATATTCATGAAAAGACAACATCATGAACCCTAAAGTCCCAAATTCAATTTCAAATCCAAAAGAAAGAACACAACATCAACAGTAAAACGAATTGAAGACAAATTATGCATTGATTCATCTCATCCCTATTTGAACCCTAAAGCTCCAAATTCAGATTATGCAGAGATGAACAAGAAAAAAGAAAGCAAGCGAATTGAAGACGGTAAAATAAATTTTGATTGTGTTAGTTTTGCTTCCTCACCCCATTCTTGTTAGGGTTATAGCTTCCTCACCCAGTTTTTATATTCTATAACTGAGATGTTAATGATTTTTGTTGTTGAAATATAGTCATTAAGAGATATGAAAAATTTAATTGGAATATGGAAACAAAGAAAACTAAAAAATTGGACAAACATGAACCTATTTACAATGGGTTACGTATGTTTCAGATTTACAATAGGTTACGTACAAAAACATGAACTTGCTTACAATAGGTTTTCATGATTCTAATGAAAAGACTAATGGAATTTATGCAGGTTTGTATGTTTTTATTGTGTAAGACATATAAATAAGTGTGAAGTGGTGTAGTGGTTTGATATGTTATCTAGCAATCAAGTGTACCTGTGTTCGAATCTTGGTTAAAACAATAATTTTTAGAATTTTTTTGGGTATTTAATGAACTAACATGCCATGTGTACCACATCAGCGACACGTCAGATGCCACCCAAGCAAAAGTTGACGTCATTAGTAAAAATTGGACGGAAAGGACTAACATGGACCTTTTGGAACAATTAAAGGACCACTTAAGGGAACAAAAAAAGTATTTTGCCTATTTTTTATTCTTGAAATGAATATATGTGTATTGAATAATTTTTATAGGCTTAAATGCAGTTTTGACCCCCCTAGTTTAATGTTTTTGGAGTTTAGATCCCCCTAGTTTAAAAGTCAGGTTTCTAGTCCCCAAAGTTTTCAAATTTGGGATTTTTGAAGCCCCCCTCCATCTGGCTGCCCAAAAAGTGACATGGCACAGGGAGAGTAATGCCACGTATTATTTTCTTATTTCTTATTTAGAATAATATTTTTTAAACATTTAAATAAGTGATATTAATTTCCAAATGAATTCTTAATTTCATAATTCATATTTTCTGAAAATCCCAAATTGCTTAACCTAATTTCCTCTTCCACCCGCCCGTACGAGATTTCTTCTGATCATCTTCAACCCTCCTTCTTGGTACGACCTCCAACACTCCATCTTCGTCTTCCTTCTGTGGTACCAGCTTCAACCATCACACTCCTACTACATACTACCTTCACACTCTCTCTTAAAGCTTCGTATAATCATTCTGATATTTAGAGCGATGAGGAAAGATGGAGAAAGATATTCTATGAGGTAAGTTTTGTTGTCTTCTTGAACATGTTTTTATATAGTTCTGTGTGGTCCACCATTGTCTCATATTAGTGGGTTTAGTATTTTCTCTTTTGTGGTCCACCATGAACGAATATTCAATGTTTGGCTTTTAGTGGGTTAGTTTATTAACATTGCATTTTAATATTGTTAATTTCAGGCCACCACCAGAGACATTAGTGAGGTTAAGATTACACCATAGGGGTAGATTTGTAAATGAACCTGTACATTTGTATGTTGGGGGCGAGGTTACTGAGATGAATTGGAAGTTTGATGTTGACTTTATGTCATACATGGATTTGGAGGCACTGGTTAAAGGTCAGGGTTATATAGACATTGGATCTTTGTGGTATAGGAACCCTAAATTTAGCTTTACCCGTGGTCTAAGGCCATTAAACAATGATAGGGATGTACTGCAATTTGGACAAGATGTTGTAGGTCATGAAGTAATTGATGTTTATGTGGAGCATAAGGTGTCTGATCCACCTGAAATTGTGGATCCTAGTGAGTTGGATAAAGTAATTGAAGATGATGATTTAGAATTGATTGGTGTAGCAGAACCAAATATTGCTGTAGCTGAACATTGTGAAGTTGAACCTGAAACTGCTGAACATGAACCTGAACCAGAACCAAATATTGATGTTGTTGAAACTGTTGAACATGAACATGAACCTGAACCTACTGAACCCAATATTGCTGTTGCTGAACCTGTTGAACAAGAACCTGAAATTGTACCTGAACCTATTGAACCCAATATTGCTGAACCTACTGAACCTACTGAACCCAATATTGCTGAACCTGCTGAACCCAATATTGCTGAACCTGCTGAACCCAATATTGTTGAACCTACTGAACCCAATATTGCTGAAACTGAAGATGTTGTACCTGAACCTGAAATTTTTGAGCCAAATATTGCTGAACAAGGACCTCAAATAAATGCTGAGAGCCAACCCAATAATGATTTCAGTGAAGATAGTAACAATTGTGAGGATAGTGGAGAGTGTGATGAGATGGACTGGACGTCAGTGCTGCCTCCTGAGACCTTAGGTGAGGAACCTAGTGTAGTGAACCTGCAATCACAATCTGAAGATGAAGAGGATGAGGAACATTTATACACACCCCCTGGTACTGATGATGAAGAAGATCAAGAAAGGTTCCCAACATATAAAAGTGGGCAGGGATTACAGTTCAAGATAGGATTGATGTTTTCAAACAAGGAAACAATAAGAGATGCAATTAAAGAGTATGGAATGGAAAACCAAAAAAATGTCTATATCAGGAAGAATGATGCAAAGAGGATTATAGTTAAGTGTATGGATGGCTGCAAGTTTCACCTCAGGTTCAGTTTGAGGAATGGGCAACAGTATTGGCAAATTGTAAGTTATGAGAGTGACCATACTTGTTGCAGAACTGCAGACAACAGGAATGCTAAGACCCAATGGCTTGCTATAAGGTTTACACAACTTCTAAGGCACAGCCCATACATGAAACCAGCTGGTTTAGTCGCTGAAGCACTACAGAGATGGTTTAGGTGCTGGTTATGACCAGTTCAGGCACTTGAGAAGTTATGGAGAGGAGTTATTGAAGTCCAATCCAAAGAGTACAGTTATTATAAAATGCTCAGAAAACCATGGCAGTCCTGCATTTGAAAGAATATATATTTGTTTAGATGCTTGTAAGTCAGGATTTGCCAAGTATTGTAGACCAATAATTGGTTTGGATGCATGTTTTTTGAAGGGGGATTATGGTGGCCAATTGATGTCTGCTATAGGCAGAGATGCAAACAATCAAATATATCCAATTGCTTATGCAGTGGTTGAGGCTGAGACCAAAGATTCGTGGGAATGGTTCTTGCATATACTACTAGAAGATTTAAGAGCAGTCAATGATAGATGTTATGGCTTTATTTCTGACCAACAGAAGGTAACATTTAATTCTTATTTGTGCTTTTATTTATGACTAATAGAATGTAACATTTAATTATGTGTGCTTTATGTTAGGGTTTGGTTCCTGCTATCCAAGGCTTAAGTTCCAATGTGGAACAGAGACTGTGTGTGAAACACCTTTATGGTAATTGGAAGAAAAAACATGGAGGTGTGGTACTAAAACAAGCCATGTGGGAAGCAGCCAGAGCAACTTCAATTCCAATATGGGAAAGAGCAATGCAGAAATTGAAGCTTTTAGATGGTGGAGCATGGAAGGACTTGAATGACATTCCAGCAATGTTCTGGACAAGATCACATTTCAAGACATATGCCAAATGTGATATTCAAGTGAATAACATGTGTGAGGCCTTTAACAGGGCAATTTTGGAGCATCGAGACAAGCCAATCATAACCTTATTGGAAGGAATCAAACATTATATCACTAAAAGGATAACTA